CAGTAAACTTCCGATAATCTGGCACCTTTGGGACCCAGGGGGTGCCGGCGCCTGGGGCAGAGCGGACTATCGGAAGGGGAGGCTATGAGGGGTCTGAGGTGGCATCTCCCCCACCCCAGTCCCCTCATAGCCCCCCCTACTGATAGTCCAGGAAATCTGATAATCCGGCACCCCCTGGGTCCTAAAGGTGCCGGATTATCGGAAGTTTACTGTATTTCCTCTTTAATTGAGTGAATTTAATTCTCATTATGATGGAGAAATAAAGCATTGTCTGTAGCCAGGCATTGCGGTAGCTTCCTCATGCAGCTCTGCTTATGCACCTGTCTTCTGAGCTGTAAAGCCCGCTGCTAGAACTATCTTTTGTTAGTCTGTTCTAAAGCAGGGGGGATATGCCATATAATATCAATTTGTGTTTTGTTTTAGAGACACACCAAACTCAGTCTCACTTGGGATTTAAATTAGGATTTGAACTTTGTTTTCATGGCCAAATGGAAATATGGAGTTTACAAGTAAACAAAAAAGCTTCAAATTAAAACTGCATAAGTCTTCATTCAGTAACTTTATTCCTCCCTCCCCATATATGAGAATAATTCACTTTTAGATGAGTTTCAAAACACTCGGACCTCTAACTTCACGTTTTAGGTCTAAAATACAGTTTATTTCTTGTCAGTGAATATAATTGACTACGTCATTATGAAGCACTAGTACAGCGTACACAACACCATACTATCCAGACTTCTAAACATCTTTCAGTCCTGCAACAGTTCTCCATTTTTAATGAGCTATCTAAGTCTGATTTATACTAGGGCATTTCTTTTAAATAATTTCCCCTATTTTGAAATAACAAGCAGAGCATCCACACTACCAAGCCCATTATTTTGAAGTAAGGGGTTGTTTATTTTGAAACAATAACTCCTGCTTTCCTCGAGGAATAACGCTTATTTCAGAATAGTTATCTCGAAATAGCGGTAGTATGGATGTTGCTATTTCGAAATAGCTATTCCCCAAAGTCATTCAAAGTAATTACTCACCAGTGCTTCCTGGGGCTCTCAGGCAAAGTAGTACATACACGTTAAGGGAGCCTTTAGTGTGGATTAAGGATGTTACATTGCGGTTAATTGACTAATTGAGTAGTCAATAGGCACTTCCGCATTCCCCTACTGGGTCTCTTGTACATTTCAAAGGAGGAATGCGGAACTCTGCATGCAGCCCAGGGCCAGTGGGAAGTCCCACTGACTCTGGGCTGCACACGGGAGTGCCTGCTTTGAAAGTCCCCTTTTCAGAGTCCCCAGCTAACCCCAGTTCCACTGAAGTGCCACGTGGAGCCCCTTTGAAATGCCAAGGTGGCATTTTAAAGATACAGCCACTGCACAACTGATCCCGGACTTCTGCTGAAATGCCCTGTTCTGCATCCATCCCACCACCTCTCACCACCAATTCACTCCTTCCCCTGAGGGACACAGTCTTGGGGAATACTGGGAGGGCCTGGCACAGGGCAGCATCAGCGGTCACCCACCTCCCCAGCACTCGCCACATGGGGAAGTGAAGCAAGTGTACTTGAGTGGCAGGAAGAGGCAAGGCTTGGGGACAGGTGTGGACACACACATCTCCACAACCAGGCTGCTGGGACTCCCAGACGAGATTGCAAAAATGCTCCAGCCCATAAATGGCCAAAAGCCATTAGTTTGAGACCCCTGCTTTTTAAAGTCTTAAGTCTGACTAGGGACCGAATTGTTTAATTGTAACTGTTTTACCAAGTTTCATTGTTGATATTCAGAACAAAGTGAAAATTGCTGGGGGATGGCCAGTGGGGTTACAGCGTTTTTTTTTATATATAAAATCACTACAGTGGCTTGGGTGTCGACAGTCAGTTTAGTCTCAGACAGAAAAAGAACTAAAGAGGAAATAGTGTTGAAATATTTTGCAGAAATGTGCTGAAATGACAAACACTCATCCAAACTACTGAATACAGATGAATGATTTAGTTTGTTACATGGAATGCTAGTTTGGCTTTTCTCCCTTAAACTTAAAATTCCCCACAACTTTTGTGATATGATGCTCTGGTTTTTTCCTCTTTACTCTTAGAATTATTTGGTCACATTAACTCTTTATTTTTCTTCCTCCTATCTGTCTTTGCTTCCCTTTCTGCATTTCTTCCGCGTATTCTCCCAAAGCAAAAATTTAGATCAGCAAGAGTTTCCACAACCACTAATGGTGAATGAAAATCAATGACAAAATTCCCGTTGTTTTCAGTGGTGCAAAAACTTCTCACCAGTTGCTTTGCCTGAAACCAGAGTAATTTTTATCCCATTAACTGTTACTAACTCACATTGAAAGATAAAACATTGATGAGTATCTGCATAACTCACAAGTAGTGACTAGAACGATAAAATCTTGATTGATTTCACTCTGCAGCTAGTTTCATAGATAAATTGCTTATATAGTTGGAGCTATCTCTTGTTGCTGGACACCAATACAGATGGTGGAGCAAAAGGGATTTGCTGATTCCCTAAAATCAATAGGGTTCAGAATATGTATTGAGAGCATGACAAAAGATCGGAGCATTAGTCATGAATTCTTTGCATGGTGAATGCTGTAGTTGCAGAGATAATAAATGAGGTACTCCGGTATTTTCCAGATTAATTGGCGTGCATCACTTTGGTCCTAGTTCAGAACTGTTGTCCCCTGCTGCTGGCATTTGTTATGCTGGCTGTTGCCCTTATGTTTTGCCACACTACAGTGAATACCGAAGCAAAAGCTTAGTATGCTTGGATGCTGCAAGTCACAGATACCCATCACCGAGAACAATTAGTTTTAAACATTTATGGCTACGTCTACACTGCAGGCTCCTTGTGCAAGAAAAGCTGTTCTTGCGCAAAAACTTGTGGAGCGTCTATACTGCATGCGCATTCTTGCGCAAGTAAATTTACAGTAAAGCGTCGGAACAGAGGGTTTCTTGTGCAAGAGTTATTCCTCTCCCCACGAGGAATAAGCCCTCTTGCGCAAGAGCTCTTGCACAAGAAGGCAGTGTGGATGGGCAACGGGCTTCTTGCACAAGAAACCCTTATGGCTAAAATGGCCAACAGAGATTTCTTGCACAAGAGAGCATCCACACTGCCATGGACACTCTTGCACAAAAGCACATAGCACTGTGGATGCGTTCTTGCGCAAGACCTTTTGTGCAAGAACTCTTGCGCAAAACAGTTCTTACGCAAGAAGCCTGCAGTGTAGACATAGCCCAAGTGTTTATAATTTTGTATATATAACATGACTTTTGATTGACACCATTTCATATTATAGTAGCTGAATTATTTTGGTCCTTTGGAAGGCTGGCCTGTTAATAGCTTTTCTTCGTCTTAGTGAAGAGTCGTGTACACGTTATGTCTCCATTTTTCAACTTGGTTAACAATACAGCTATCTCCATGTATTTTTGTATTTCCAGCATGTTCATTTCTGTTGCATCCAAAATGTGCTGTGCATTTTACAGGTATGATCTTGTATTCTCTGCTTAAGATAGCATAGTTTTCCCCATACAATATCCAACAATTAACTTGACCTAGTTAAAGACAAACATTTCTTTTCCCGCTTTATAATCTTGGATAAAATTTTCTGAAGAGTCTAAATGACTTAAGAGAGTGAGACCCATTTTCAAAAGTAACTTAGCCCCTTAAGCTTCATTGAAAGTCCTTGGGTTTTAAGCTTCTTAAGTCACTTTGATGCTTTTGAAATTTTTATAATGTTCACATACAATGAAATCTGAACAATAAACTGTTTAAGGCCGCCTTCTGCTTCTGAAGACAACCTCTAAATATCTCCATATTTTAGTACTGTTCTGCCTTACCTTTAATGGAAAATCATCTCAATGAAAAAATCATTTGTTAGTCACTTACAGACCTATTCCACTTCATTTAGAATGTATACATGAAAGTTCCTAAGAAAAGTACCTAAATTGTTGGCAACCCCTTAAAGATTAGTGTTGTGTACACTAGCAATGAGAACAATTTCCAAACCCAGCATGTAATTCAGCAGCTGTTTGCAAAGTCTAATTAGTATGTTATACAACTTGAGACAGTAGAAAGTGTTTCATGTTAAAATAAGTTTTGCAGCTCCAATACGCAAAGATTTCTTTGTACTTTCTTTTAAAGATTAACTGTGTATCCAGCCAGAGAAAGGAAAAACTCAGCAATTTAAGTTGACAGTAATATGTTCATTCTCTTCCTCTTCTCAGAATTATATCTTTTAAACTCATTTGTGTTTAAACCTTTTAAACTAAGCAAATTTCTTCACAGGTAGGTGCATAAAGACAAAGACTTTCTGATACTTAATGAAAAGATTCTTGTGTTCATTTCACTCACATGCTAAAAAGTTCTCTGGAGAGGGGAGGAGATGGGGAAAATGCCTACCCACCTGGAAACTGTAAAGTTCCATAAACTTTATAGAGAACTGCTTAAGGTTGTAATTAAGTCTTATTTTCCTTTCTAGGTTTGTTAAAGTTCTGCACTGTAGGGTTTTGTGGAATTGGTAGCCTAATTGATTTCATTCTCATTTCAATGCAGGTAAGTTGACGCTTTCCAACTAGGATAAAAATCAATATTTTATTTATTAGAAGTCTGAAGTCCAAAAGGGGACCAATCTGCTTTTGGTTTCAAGAGAATTTTCTGACTGTCTCACAGGCACTGATTTCTCAGTCATGTTTTTTTAATTTAATATCGCAGAGGATGTGTCACAGAAAACAGTTTAAAATGTATATAAATTTAATCTTAAAATTAATAATCAACTAGATATTTTTTCCATTCACTGCAGTGTTCCTCCACCTCTAAGTGTAACCTTCGCCACACAAAGCAACACTGCATATATGTATTATGGCAGAGTGAAGACTGCTCTAGCCTATTAGAAGAACTTGAGAACCTAAGCAAAATCTAGTTATCCATCACTGTAATTTGACCAGAATCTTATTTAGGATCCCTGGTTTAACATATCACCAGTAAAATGTGTTTAAATGCATTCAAGAGGCTGCAGGGATGAACCTAACAATGCAGAGTGACATTTTCTAAAGCAAGAGTGGACAAATATTAGCCTGTGGGCCAGAGCTGGTGTGCCAGGGTTAGCTCCTGGCAGGCCCCACACCACTGTGTTTGCCTGTGCCTCTGCAAAGCTGGGAATCACAGCTCCTGTTGGCTGCAGATTGCCATTTCCAGCCAGTGGGAGCTGTGCTGGCCTGTAC